GACATGCTATACTATGACGTTTTTTCATGATTTCAAGCGACATGCTATACTATGACGTTTTTTCATGATTTCAAGCGACATGCTATACTATGACGTTTTTTCATGATTTTGGACGACATACTGTACTATGACTTTTTTTCATGATTTCTAGTGACATGCTATACTATGACGTTTTTTCATGATTTTGGATGACATGCTATACTATGACTTTTTTTCATGATTTTGGACGACATGCTATACTATGACTATTTTTTCATGATTTTGGACGACATGCTATACTATGACTATTTTTTCATGATTTTGGACGACATGCTATACTATGACGTTTTTTCATGATTTCAAGCGACATGCTATACTATGACTTTTTTTCATGATTTCAAGCGACATGCTATACTATGACGTTTTTTCATGATTTCAAGCGACATGCTATACTATGACGTTTTTTCATGATTTCAAGCGACATGCTATACTATGACGTTTTTTCATGATTTTGGACAATATACTATGTTTTGACTTTTTTTTATTATTTTAAATAATATTAGGTTTTTCATAATTTTGGACGACATTGGGAAGTTACCACAGGTCATTTGTACATTATAGGAGTAAATTCATCTTTACCATATAAAGTACATAGACATGTAATATCCTGCTGTTGAACGAGCATTTTACTTTCTTCTGATGTCTAAGTTTTCAATTTGACTTGAAGTGCTCAAATACTTCATTACATTTATGTGTGTATGAATACTTTGCTTTGTTTCTGTTCTGAAACTCCTCGCCATCCCAATGTCATCATCCTATCAAAATATGTTCCTGTCTTTGTCAGACATCAGCCTGCACTCACTGCTGTAGGAGCTCTGATCCATCAGCTGAAATAGAATTTGAAAGCTATCATTTTTCTGCTTAATAAATAACACAAAAGACGTCTTGATTGTTTCACTCTTTATTTGTTCATTCCTCCACCACTTCTGACACCACACACATACCACCCACACTGTAATGGTACAAAGCTAGTTGAAAATCACCAAAGTTTCCCTATTAGTTTCACTCTGTTCATTTCCCTATCAAACAGAGCTGTCAGTTTGGGAAGTACTGAGCATATGTGTGGAGTTGTGTGAGAGTTTGTAAATGGACATGCTGATACAGTTGTTAAAAATAGTCAAACAAAGTCAAACAGGTGCAGACTAACAACTTATAAACTAGCTGACATCCCCATATGGCCTGCACAATTTGTTTGTGAAATTTAGCTTTATTTCCACCATGCTCACTTTACTCATCCACACATGCTTTACACTTCTGATACCTGACTTTTCCAATTACCTTTGGCAATGAGCTCTTACAGTATGTTTAGCTAAATAAACACCTTTTTGTTACCTTTAATCAGTGTGTAGACTCTTATTTGTCACAAGTCCTGAGCTAGGTTTCTAACAAATGGGGGCTCATCTGGGATTTAAGGGATTTCTGGTGTAGTATGTGTTAGTTGCTTGTGTTTAGTATACAGGGAGGAGGTTATGTACATCCTCAGAGATCGACTACCAGGGTGAGTATTCCCAGGCAGTGATCACTGTTAGTGCCTTCTGTGTATTGTTTTAGCTGCAGCCTGAAGAAAGCATTAGTATGGAGGGGAGTGCCACACTTCGTAAGAGGAGGGTGTAAGTGTCTTAAGTTCAGGACGGACTTAGGTTTAGGCCTGATGCTGGTCCTACCGGCAGGTTAGTGGTAACCTGCGTGAGAAACAGTTTTGTTTTTTTTTTAGTTTGCCTCGTTCCTGTGGGCTACAGCAACACTAAACCCCTGAGCTTGCCTGAGAAGGACTAAATGCACAAAGCTGCTATTTTTAAATATCCCATGGAGAGAGACTCTCACTGCAGCCTGTTCAATTTTGTTGTGAAAATGTGGGCGTGCAGCCTCGTTCTGTGGACAATAAACCAGGTGCAGACTTCCATCTGTGTCACCGCTGATGAGGAAATACAGCGAGTGCTGGACGGAGCAGTGAGTGACAACAACCCCGCCCACATTTAAGAGGACTGTCTGAACACACCGAGGGTCTAGGTACCATGTCTGAAGGCTTACTGCTGGTTCCAGAGGGACTGGACTGAAAGGGTTTGGTGGAGACGGGGCTCATGTTGCAAGATAACATTGCAGAACCCTTGTGTTCTAGTTGCCCCCCCCCCCCCCCGTGTGTGTTAGTGAGCAAGAAATGTGTTGAGAAATGCGCCAGCTGCTTTTCAGCAGTTGCTGAATAAGGTGGTGGCGGGGTTAGATGGATGTGCAGTGTATTTAGATGATGCTGTCATCTACAGTGAGAGCATGTACACTGCATCAAAGCACTGTTTGACTGTCTTGCACAGTCTCTCACTGAGTTCCTTCCTCTTCAGTTGACTCTCTTTTAGCTGCAGAAACACCCAGGTTACAGTTATCCAGCCCATAGTTCCCCTTCCTCCTGCTGGCCTGGAAACACATGACAGCACACAGATGTGACTTTCTGCATCACTCCTTTCTTCAGTCCAGTAAACACAGACTGACACCGTGTCCTATCAGAAAGCGAAGGTGCAACTATTGCGCCACATCATGCTCAGGGACGTTAGACTGGAGACCTAAGATGGGTGAGTACTTGTTTCCTACATTTGTACTTTTGAAACAGAGACCATGTTTTATATTGTGACATTTACTGGAGATGTACAATCTAACCAACAGCAAGGAGGTGGTTGTTAACAATGGTCATTAAAAGGACTCTCTAAAATGGCGGTGTTTCGCCTGGGGGCCACGCCTTGCGTCCCGTGTCCCACAGAATGTTGTGTGCCTGATGTGTGTTCTCGTCAGCTTGCACTGGGTTGTCTTGTCATTTATGTTTGATAAGCTGGCAAAGCTGTAACCTAAAAAGTTGTTCATGGATCTAATCTTTGCTTTAACCCAGAGATTAAACCTGTCAATCACACACAAGACTTAAAATGCTATTTTTGTGGAGGCTTTATTGTCTTCACGATTTATTGTTTCTTATCTGTGAAATTAAAGTAAATCAAAGCTTTGTTTCCACTGAGGGAAATGGTTTCAGCTCACAGAGACCGACAGGAGGTTTTTGTTACCGCAAAACATAGTTACATTTGGGGCGTCGGTGGATTAATGGTAGAGCAGGCGCCCCATGTACAAAGATGTTGCCGCAGCGGCCCGGGTTCGAGTCCAGTCTGTGGCCCTTTGCTGCATGTCATCCACTCTCTCTCTCTCCCCCTTTCACACTTAACTGTCCTGTCCATTAAAGGCAAAAAATGCCCCCAAAAAATATCTTAAAAAAAAAACAAAAAAACATAGTTACGTTTCTTGGGAGGTGCACGTCAGGCTACGGCGTAGGGTACAGTGTCGATTTGACGCAGAAGTATAAATTCCGCCTAAGGCTTCGAAGTAGGATTATCATCTCTCTTCTGCTTAGAAGTGGTGAATCTACAGCTCATAGATACTTCATGTGACACAGTCTCTGGTTTTTGTTTGATATCTAGTGTCAGAAAAAATGTTGCTGATATAAGGAGGAACTCCTCAGTTCAATCTCATGAATCAGCTGTTCCTTGTCCATTTCTGCACTTTCAATGCAATCGACAGGAATGACACACAAATAGGGAGTACAACAAATGTTCAGCTCAAAACGATACGTCCCATCACACTGTGTAACTCGTGGCTAGATGGGACACTCCGATAGAAAAATAATGCAATAAATCAGATTTAGTTGCTGCCGCTTGCAGGACACGGTGTGAGCGCTTCATTTCAGTCAGTGGTCTAAATGAGAGAAGTGTCAGTACCTTACAGTAGAAGAAAAGGGCAGTGATCACCAACAGCAGAATCAGCGGCAGCATGGCCGCTTTCATGATAAAAGGTGTCGGATCCTGAAATACATGGACAGTCACAACATCATATCATATCACACATCATGAGTCCAACAGCTGTTTGATTCAGTCTTACACAGACTAACGCCTAAAACAACAGTTCACCCATAAATGACAATTCACTCACTATCTCCTCCCCCTGTGCTGATGTGAGGATGGGTGAAGATCTGCAGTTGACAAAACACTCCCAAAATTTTAGGGGAAAACAGCGTTGCAGCCAAATCCAGTACAACTGAAGTGAACAAGTTTTAAAATGTCAAAAAAAAAACACAAAATGTCTCAATACTGCTCGTGTGGCGTAATGGTAATTTGACCCGAAAAGATTCCATTTACACAGTGTTTTTAGTCTAAACGTCAATTGTAGCCTCTCAGACTGGAGCCACGTGCACGTTTGTGGGCACAAGCCTGAAGCATCAATGACGGTGCAAAACGCGAGGACGACGGTCCTCCAGTGAAAAATGTTCACTACACACCTGGACTGATTTGAGCGATTCAGTGGAGGAGTTGAGATCCAGACAAAGAGTCATTAGCCACAGCCGTAGTCTGTATGGGTCATGTAACAGTAGTCTGTGGAAATTTACACTTCTTACACGCTTTTCTTGGTTGAAGAACAGGAAAAGAACATACTTGAACCGTCTTTTTAAATATTTGCGCTACTGAAAGAAGGTACCACTGTGTTCTGTCAGATCACAGATCTAAAATGTTATTTTAAATCCAAAAAAGGGACGTGTTGCTTACTGAAAATCCAGCAGATCTCTCTCTGTCGTGAGTCGCTTCCATGTAGCATGGTAGGTAGCATGTAGACACCGGTGCACAGGTATTGTGAGATCTTGTTGATCTTGTGTCGCTCTGTCACTTTTGTACCCACTTCAGGCGTGTGCTCGCCAACATGCACGTGGCTTTGGTCTGAGAGGCTACAGTTGATATTTAGGCTAAAAACACAGTGTAAACGATGTCTTTTCAGGTCAGATTTGAATGTCACAGCTTATGGACACAAACTGGTCACCAGCTTCAATAGTACTGGCTTTGGCTGCAGCGCCGAGTGATTTGTGAACTGGAGATCTTCACCAGTTCTCACATCAGCACACAGGTGACTGGATATCAAGTGAATTGTCATTTTTGGGTGAACTATTGCTTTAAACTTCTGACACTTCATATTCATACCATAATTACTGTTTGGACCTGGACCTGTGTTCACTGATAAAGTTGCTGTCCTACTGGTCCATCCGTCTACTCTTTAATGATGATCTATTTCCTGTCTGTCTGTTCTGAAGAGGGATCTCTCCTCTGGTGATGATGAAGGGATTTTAGAGTTAATCTGAATCGAGGCCCTGAGAACAGAGCCATATGAAACATTAAAGTTATGATCCCACTTTCTAGGCGGTATATCTCAGCCAAAAATAGTGGTAGGAGTGAGACTCTTACCTTTTATAAAACAGCTAAGTCCCCTCTAACGGCTCTGCTTATGATTGCGAGTTATCCTTTAACTTTTCCCGTTGAAAAACGGCATGACATGACTTGTCACCACTCATCGCGATTTTGGACTTTGTGTGTTTAGGCTGCTCTGATGCGAAATACATAATAAATAAAAGAAAAACAATGTTATTTTTGAAAAGTCAAGAGCTTCCTGAATCCAGCAATACCAAACATCACATGGTTTGATGACGTAGTGCGCCTGGGAGATACCATTTAACAGAGGAGGGGGGAAGCTAGAGAGTTAGAGAGGTTAAAATAAGTCTGATTAAAACTAAAACTAATTAACTGTTTGTTAATTGGCACTTTGGCACTGTGAGGAGAAGCTCAGCTGCTGCCATTATAGCTGGTGCATGTGTTTTTCAACCTGGGTACATCATTGTCATAGATTATGTTGTAGATGATGTCACTGCTGGCCTTACCTGAGCAGGTGAGATCCGCGAAGTGAATAAACACATTTGTGTCTGAAGTTACAAACTCTCTCTGAGTAGATCCAGATTCAACACAATTATTTTGGATTTCCTAAATATTACTGTAGCTCTTTATCTGTCTGTTGAAACAGCAGAGCCACAGTCCAGCTCTCTACAGGCACCAGCTGCTTCCTTCAGGGGCCAGACATCTACCACCACTGGTCTCCACTCTCCCTCTCACCTCCAGTGTTCCTGCACAGTGACTGTCTCCTCCCACCAACCTGACAGGCTCTGAACAGAAACCAGAGAGTCATCAGTAAAAGAACAAAGTGAGTTTCATTAGAAGAGAAATGAACCAAATCAAAGCTGCAGCTCCTCTTCTACCTGAGCAGGTGAGTCCAACAGCTTTGCCAGGTGAGCAGGTGTTTCTATTTGAGTCTGAGCTTCTACAGTCCAGGAGAGCAGACTCATGGCCTCCACACTGGAACTCTTTGGTCCACATTGGAGCCTCCACTTCTCCATAGAGCGCCCCCTGGAGGACTGAAGGAGCCCCACAGCCAAGCTCCCTACAGACCACCTCTGCATCCTGCTGGTCAAAGTCAGCTTCACACACTGAGGACCACCTCTGGTTAGACTTCACCTCCAGTCTGCCTGAGCACAGACTGGTCCCATCCACCAGCCTGACAGAGTCTGCAGAGATAATAGATGATCAAACAGAGAAAGATTAAAGACACCAGACATAAAATAAAAAGATGTCATGACACAGCAACTCAAACTGGCCATCTTTGGCGACACTAAGGCAAGAAATCAGCGATGGTGCTCTTACAACACAGAGTCGGGGGTTAACATGTTTTGGTGAAGTATTTGCATGTGGGGAGGCGAGCACTGTCAGTAAAATGGACCCGCAAAAAACCCCCATTAAAGCAATGAACGGGCCCTCGCATCTCCGTGCAGCTCATAGGTGCTGGCAGGACGCTGGCTGATGTGGCACTTAATTTCTATGAAAGTCAGACACTGCATGTGGGAGTGAGATGATATATCCTTCATAAAGTGTGGGTGCTGGAATGACCTATTTTACATGTAGTAATGCTTCCTGTTTCCACTCTGTGGCGCCAGAGAACACACTAATTATAAATCACTGGTCCCATTCAGCAGGAGGAACAATACAGGATTAAAACACGCATCACATTTAAATCACACAAGGGGACTGAAAACACGGCATATGACTGTGCATGTGTCTATTTGATATTGTTTAGGATAGTTACTGCAGTGGAGAATTAAGAATTCAATTGTCCCAAAGGTGTGGTAATTAACCTCAGTCACCCCAGTATTTAAAGCTGGAGACAAGTCTGACATGAATAATTATAGACCAATCAGCATCTTACCTACTACTTCCAAAATAATTGAAAAATGGGTTGCCAAACAAATCATTGAATTCCTCAGCAATAGCCAAACTCCTTTACATCCCATGCAGTTTGGGTTTCGACCACACCACTCTACCGAGACTGCATTGACCATGTTCATGGAAAGAATCAAATGTCATCTAGATAAAAATGGATGTGTTGGTGCCGTATTCCGTCAACCACAAGGTGCTTCTATCTAAATTGTCCTGATTCAATTTCTCTACCCAAACTATTAATTGGTTTGACTCATACCTGTCACACAGTGAACAATGCACTGCGGTGGACAGTGCCAGCTCCTCTTGCATGGGTTGTCCAGTAGGGGTACCCCAAGGGTCCATACTGGGACCCATTTTATTTTCATTGTATATTAATGATTTACATGATTTTTGTTTGCATGTGGATGTCCAGCTTTACGCTGATGACACTGCAATTTTTACTAAAGCTAAAAATCCTGAGGAGGCAGCACGTGTGCTCTCAGCAGCTGTTACACACATACAAACATGGCTTACTAGATCACATCTTATCTTAAATGCAAAAAAAACTGTTTTTTTTGTCAAAGCAACCTTCTACTACCATGCTTTCTCACTCTGGTGTTTTTTTTGGGCACAGAAGAGTTGAATGTTGTTAATGAGTTTAAATACTTAGGTGTGATTATAGACTCTAAACTCTCTTTCAAAAACCATGTTAAAATGTTATCCAAAAAAAATCAAATTCCATCTTTATAACTTTAAGCAAATCAGAGGTTCCCTATCAGCTGCAGCTGCTCTGATGTTTTGCACTCTGATACTTCAACATATGAGCTGCTGCATCACCAGCTGGTCCATGTGAGGTTCTACTATCCTGAAACCAGTTGAGCTTCTGTACAAAAAAGCACTCAAAACTCTAGACAAAAAACCTTTTTCTTATCATCACTACAACATCTTAGTGAAATATAACTTGCTGAGTTTTCTTAGTTTTTGTGAATTCTCCTCTGTATGCCTAATATATAAAGTGCTCCATGGCCTGGCACCACCCCCACCGAAAGAGTTTATTAGATACAGACAGACTCGGGCCACCAGAGCTGTTGCTAACAAGGACTGTGAGGTTCCCTTCAGAAAAACCTCCTTCAGCCAAAACGCCCTGTCTATTAAAGGGAGTGCAGCTTGGAACACACTACCCTCTACCATAAGGGAATATCCAACCCTGGCCACCTTCAAGAGCCACCTGAAGGTGTGGCATAGAGCTAACCAAACGTGCAATCACCCCTAACTGCATGCTGTACTGTATTAACTCTCTGTGTTAACGCATACTTATGCATTGTCCTGATTTTCTAAATGAATAAATGAAAGATTTCTTATAAGTGTTTTTCTGGGCCAGTGGGGCTTTATACTGTTTTCCTGATGGCAGTAACTGGAAGGATTGGTGGAGGGAGTGAGAGGGGTCCTCTGTGATCAGGGTGGCTTTCCTGATCACTGAGTGGCTGTACAGTTCAGACAGTGGAGTTTGAGGTGAGCCCATTATTTTTGCTGGCATGCTTTATTATCCGGGAGAGTTTTGTTTTGTGTTTGACGGTGAGCAGGTTGTACCAGGATGAAATATTGAAGGTGAGAATGAATTCGATGAGTGAATGATAAACCAATGTTGAAATGTCCTCGCTGACATGTAAAGTCCTGATAAATAAAAAAAAATTATCGTGCTTCCTTATCAAATAACAGCATTTTAGCATCACTGACTCATATGGCACCAGTAATTGTTTTAATATGCTTCTGAGTGTACCTTTAATACATGCTTCATGCTGTATCACATTCATCCCACTGTATATGTGTTTTGAGCTGACTAACCACATTTGGTTTTACGTTTAGGCTACTAGTTTACTGTGTTTTGTGCTTATCGTTAATAAATAAGTGTGTAATATGTTTAGATGAAGCTGTATTACAGGCTACCGAGCAGAGGGGGTTATGTTACAACCAGAAACACAGGCAGACGCTGGAGGGACGTTGTATTTGTTGTCAAAATGAACTGAATTAGCCCAACAGGTTGAGGTGTGTGAAACAAGTCCAGTCTCACGCCGAGGTTGTTGAAATCCGGTGCTTGGGCACTGACTTGTAGCGCCAGAAATCAACGGAAAAAGACGTCATGTCGACATGATACGCAGCCGGTGGTGTCAGAGGGAAAAGGACAAAAGTTAAGCGAGCACTAAAGTGCCCTCCTGGGAGCCAAAACGTGCTAACGTGCCCTCCTGGGAGCCAAAATGCACGCTAAAGTGCCCTCTTGGGAGCCAAAACACGCTAAAGTGCCCTCCTGGGAGCCAAAACGCGCTAAAGTGCCCTCTTGGGAGCTAAACGTGCGCTAAAGTGCCCTTTCTTCTCACCTCCTGTTGGAGGTGTTCCAGGCATGTCCCACTGGTGGACGGTCTCAGGGCAGACCCAGAACACACTGAAGGGATTATATATATATTCTCGGTGTCCCCCAGGAGGAGCTGGGAAGTGTTGCTGGGGTGAGGGACGTCTTTCCTTGGCCTGCTGGATGGGTATCAGCCTATGAGCTTTTAAGGCCCAAAATGTCTTTACATCTGCTTGTAACTACATTATAGTGTGTTATTAACCACTTCTTGTTTATATACTGCTTATAAGGAAGACTTTAAAGTATCTCTGAGAAATATCCACATGACAAGTGCATATAAATGCTTCTTTTGATTTATTTTTAATTTTATCACAGTGCAAATACATTCACATTTAAGGCACGTGAGCCTCGTCAGTGCAAACTCGAGGCCCGCAGGAATACATCGTTCATTTCAAATGTTACCAGGTGAAATTTTCCCCCTGAATTACTCACAATAACAAAATCGTCGACACACATCTCAGAAGTATCACAGCACTTTCTCCAACTTCCACTTTAAAAAGACTGTTCTTACATGCTATCATTAATACTCAGTGTAAAATATTTTAATAACCAAACATCAGGATTAAAATTTTAAAAAAGGTCTTTAAATCTGAGGCACAAAGTCTTAAGGAGCAATAACTAGACTGTGTCCTTTCAACAAAGACTCAATGTCTGGACTTCTTCATTAGAAGTGCTGCAGAGATAAATGTATGAAAATGAGTATGTATGAACACTTAAGAGAATAGAGCTGCACTCTATACAGGTAAAGGTAGAGTTTGACATTTAGGAATTAGATTAAAAGATCAATACCACTGTCATATTTGTACATACTAATAAAAGGTGGTGATTAAATGCAACTTGCAGCACCTCTAAAGCCAACTAATTCACTTGTTATATCTTTCTGTTTCATTTGTACAAAACTATGATTAAATAATAATAATGGTATTATTATTATTATTATTATTATTATTATTATTATTATTTAGCCTCCAGAAAGTTGTGAATTATTGTTTTTTACAAGCATCTTTTTCAGCATCTGTCTTCTTTGCTAACTCGCAAATGTCAAACCCTTCCTTTAGAGCTGACTGGATTAGTGACAGCGACAGTGTACCATCAAACCTTTGGTTGTGTATCGTTTAACAACAAAAATGTTCAGATGCATTTTGAACCCTGTAAAGAATAAAAGTTAATAGTGCAGTTTATATGCAAAGACACATCACAACATGGACTGACTGACAGAACCGTAGATCTCCACAACAGAGTGCTGCAGGGACGAAGTTTTTCTGTCGGCCAACCTGGAATCTAACGTCGCCCTGGTTCCCTCATCAAACAGCTGATGGGATTTTCCACTGGATTTTGGATTATTGCCAAAAATAAACTCTTACACATTTTGTTTAGCAAGATAATTTACACAAGTGATAACAACTTTTATGATTTTTGCTTAAATGCAGTTGCCCAAGTAAAAATACAACGTTAAGCTATAAACAAACTCGCATGACTTTTTGTTGTTCAGCCAACAGTGTTGTAGTCAAAACCACCTAAACCGAGAGAGCAAAGTTTATCAAGACCGACACAAGACCAAGACTTTGTAGGGATCAGACAGAGTCAAGACCAGACCAGGGCCACTCCCACAATGCATGACACACTAAAAATAAAATGTGCAACATGCATGTGCAACCATGGACACTAAAAACCATGATTCGTTTTCATTCACCTCTTGATAAAATAATCAGAAGGCATTGCAGAGGTGAATTCAGCGTGAGAGAATTTCCTTTGTTTTCTATGAGTAAACAACTACAAACAAATACTAAGAAGCCTAAATAATTTTAACCATCTTTAATCAACTTTTCTATTTTGCCAGTTAGTTGAGATTCCCTCAGTTGTGGTCCTGACGAATCTTGACATAAAAGTCTGAGTCCTTCTTGTCTGAGACCAAAACTAGACTGAGTAAAAATGCAGCTGAGTCTGAGACGAGACAGAGACCTTCAAAAAGCGGTCTTGAGGCAGAGACCGATCTCAAGCAGTACCTCAACAACCTCTGTTGTCTCATTGAGGCACTTGTCAGCAAACACCTGTTTTCAGACAGGTAAAAGCTTTAGAGTTCACAGTGGGGCGTTTACTGACATATTTTATCTCATAGAACAAAACATAAAAGTCTCTAAAGCTTGTGTTCACCACAGACCCTGTTTCAGGCACCAAAACCCCACTGACTTCAGGACAAGGGAACAGGGAGTGCTAAAATGCAAACTCATTTCCAGGTCCAAGGACTCATTCCTGCAGCTCTCTGTATGAACTGGACAAGGAGTTCATCTTAAAGAAAATAAAATTAGGTCTTGACACAACGATACGCGAGCACAGCTCAGAAAATAAACCCAGACAATTTTCACAGCAGATATTTTGACTTGTCATGGTAAGAAAAGCACAGGTGTTACTATTGTAAAGCTTCAATTAGTAGCCTGGGCTATATTTGGGACAGGTCTTTAATTTCTTTCACACAAATCTGTTGCTCAGCAAAGATCAGGAAAAACCATCAAATTATTTATTTGAACGAGTATGAATAATACCTGTATGAAAGGTAGGCTGCAGATACTCTATCAATTATGAATCCTACAGACCAACCGTCAGAGAGAGTGAGTTACAACACTCGACGACTAAAAGAACATGAGTAATTTACAGGGTAATCCAGGAATGGACACATAATTTGAGGTAGCCAACAATCCGGTTTTATACATCTGGAGAACTTCTAGACCAGGGGTCTCATTTATAAAACAGTGCGTAGGATCCACACTAAAAAAATACATATGGACAAAAGCCAAAAAATGGCATGCACCAAAAAATGTTCAACAGTTTCTCCAGTCGGGCTTCCACCTCACCATCTGCGTCGCCAATATCCTGTCTCCAAATGTTCGTAAGCATGGGTCAAAGTTTCTCCCATCAAGTCTTTTTTTTACAGATCACATCTTTTGCATGAGAAGTGGCGTACGCCTCTCTCAGGCCTTGTTTTGTGTACGCAACGTTTATAAATGAGACCCCAGGCCTCTAATTGAGACAGGCCTTTACTTGTCAAAATATGTAGCCTCACCAGGCTAGTAAAAGCGACTGGGAGTTTAATTAGGACCTGGCTTCTGGTTGAAGTTTTACAGCAGTCATAACATTAATGGAAGAGTTCGACATTTTGGGAAATTTGCTTTCTGGTGAGGAGTCCGTGCTAAAACATATAAAATTAAAAGTAACTATTTCTTCTTTTCAGAGCAAGAAAAAGTGCGGCACATGACTCCATGTAAAATGCTGATGTGCTGTTTTTACACGTTCATTAGCTTCAGAGGTGGCGGTAGGAACATTTTGTCGCTGTTGCACAGAGCCAGGTTGCCTGTTTCTCCATGTTTCCAGTCTTTATGCAAAGCTAAGCTAACCATTTGCTGGCTGTAGCTTAAAGGGACAGTTCAGATTTTTTGAAGTTGGATTGTATGAGGTAGACAGTGTGCTACATACAGTAGATGTCAGTCGATACGCCTTCAGTTTGGAGAAGCATCCTGGAGTCTCTAAGCCATGAACTGCCGTGGACAAGAGCGGCAACAAAACATATTTTAGCTACCTAAAAAAGTCCAACCTAAAATAATCAATATCAGTTTAAGTGCGCTACATTTGGGATGTTTTCGCTGCTCCTATGGGAAAATTAAGCCGTTAAGTCACTCTGCTCAGAACCAGACTCCATTGAGAAAAACAGTGATTTAACACTGCTGAACGCAGGAGCTGCTGCTGTACTGCTGCCCCCGTCAGCCAGGTAGTTCAGATTCACCACACAATAACACAAACTAACTAACTGACTGAAGCAGCAGTAGACCAGCAGCTCCTGTGTTCAGCACGCTAAAATGACTATTTTTGTCAATGGAGTCTGGAGGCTTTGGCGAGAGCATAGATGGGGAACTGGAGCCGCTAATGGCTTCTTCACTAATGAAAAGGTAAATACTCTCAATATAGTGCACACTTAAATTGTACAGATTTTTTTAAGGTGGCTGACATTTTGTTGCCGCCCTCGTCCACAGCAGAACATTACTTAGCGTCCATGTCAGACTCTAGGCTGCTTCTCCAAGCTGGGCACATCACAACTGACATCTACTGTAGGTAATACACTGACTTTAGAGTACCTAATACAACCCCACCCCACAAATATCAACAATCCCTTTAATATTTCCCGCACAGACATGAGTGGTATCGATCTGAATGTCTACTTCTCTGCAGGAGAAAGTGTATTTCCCAAAACTGAACTTTAACTGTGGCTCTTTTCTACTCAAGTGTCTCAGTAAACCGTGACAGTGTGACAGTGAACCAGCATGCACAACACCAGGACCCAGAAACTGAAGCAGCCAAACAGAATCCAGCCATCGGTAATTTTATGATTTCACACCTGTGCTTTTCTTTCTGAGATTGGTCAAAATGGAAAACATGGTTAAGAAAACGCCTCCAACGATCACACCTGTGGTAAAAGTTGCCCTAATCAGACTAAACAGTCAGATAAACCAACCGCATCCTCCACTGAGAGCATGAAGCAGTCTGTGTTTGGCAGCTTCCTGTTGCCTCCTCTTCACTTGACATTCCTGCAGCTGTCGCCCTGACAGGACTGGAGCTTTATGAGCCGCTGGTTCATCTCCTGCAGGACGGTCGGGTCCACCTTCTTCACAATGTTCTCCAGCTGGTGGGGGTCTGACGTCAGGTTGTACACTTCTACAAAAGACTGCGGACACAAAGAAGGAGAAGAAGAAAAGACGCTGAGCTCTTTCACATCTGTTTGTACAGGAATTAAGGCTGCTTTCACACCTGCCCTGTTTGGTTCGGTTCAATCAAAGTCAAGTTGGTTTGCCCCCTCAGTGCGGTTCGTTTAGGATGGTGTGAACACAGCAATCACACTCAGGTGCGCACCAAAACAAGAAGAAAGAAAACACTGACACATCAAACTTATGAAGTCAAACAAACAAACAAAAAGAAATAAAAATGTTGAACAGTAAAAACTTTTCTGCGGGGACGGAGCACCTGCTGAAGCAAGCCAACACGTCGTCTGCGGTCATTTTGACTTGACAAACGGACTTCACTACAAGCTGAAAAGTAGGTGACGTGCTTTAAAACCAGCCACAGGCGGTCTGACCAGCTGAGTTGCAGGTGACACCATCAGCCAGCTTGAGCTGAGCTCAGACCGGCCAGTTCACACCGCTGACACTTTTCTCTGCTACGATCTAAAACAGTTTTGTCTTGTTGCAAATCTTTGGTCTGAACTGGACTCTACAGAAGTGGCCCCTCAGGCAAAGCAAGCCAAGTATCCCTGGTTTGTTTGCACAAAACAAAACAACAAAAGAAGAACAAGCTGTGCAGGTGAGATTTAAGAAACCCAGAGGGGTTTATAGTGAATCTCACCTCAGTAAGCATAATAAACAAAAACAAAAATCTCAAGGCAATTGAATTAAACACAACTGGACTTAGTTTTGTTTTCCAGTGTTTCCAGTTGCGTTCGATTCAATTGCCTTGAGATAACTATGACCTGGATAAATGAGAATATCCACAAGCAATAACAAAAGTCCATCAATACAAGTAAACAAACATGCAAATACACAAACATAAAACAAGCATGAAAATCAAGCAAAAACATAAAACACATAAAATCATGACGTGTGAGTGTGTACGTAAATGACTCTGACACCTGAGTGACACACACAGTCGTGCTGTACCTCGCTGTCTGCAAACTCGCAGTACTGTAGGTCCTGGTCTTTGGTGAGGGTCCTGACGCAGGCGTAGGTGTTGTTGTAGGCGTCTTCACACACGCAGTCTGGGAAACATTGCTGAGGAAATGAGAGATCATTTTTCTTTAGTTTGTACTGAATATTTGAAGCAAACTGTAAATCTAGACCACTTATTTTGTTGCAGTTGTATTTTCTTGAATTAAGAAAATATAGAAATAGTTTGTTTGTTACTAATTTGTCATATCATCAAGAACATTGTTATCGCATCGTTATTTTATGGCCATATTGCCCACCCTTAGAAGTAATCAATAAAGTTACGCTGCTCCTTGTGTGTACATGTGCACAGCGTCTCCCTTAATGTGGAGGCTGACAGCAGCTCTGCTCTTATCTCTGCTACGTTCACATTTTACAGAATGTCACAAGTTCACTCACCAGCAACCCGTCCACACGTCCCCATGTGTGTAATTAACAGTGTGTATGTGCAGTGTGAACACACCTTTGTAGGCGCATCTTACTATTTGAAATATTGCACCCCTTTAAATAGCAGCAAAATACTGTGCCATGCTTTTTCTCCACCTTTGCAACATTTCTAAACTATGCCCATCACTGTCCCAGTACACCACCAAAGTCTTGGTTCACGCATTCGTCACATCCCATATTGACTACTGTAACACAGTTCTCTCTGGCCTCCCAACCAAACTCAACATATATCTTTAGGTAGTGTGTTCCATAGCTCGATCTTCTTCCAATAAACCAGCAGCAGATGATTGCAGCGTTCTTGGAGGCAAATAGTTAACAAGGCAGTTAGCGATGTAGCTCAGCTACTCCTATAGGGCTTTGTATACAAGGAGGAGGAGCTTAAAATCGAAACTTAATGTAACAGGAAGTCAGTGCAGAGCAGCTCAGACTGGCCTGATGTGCTCTCTCCTACTGGTTCTGGTTCATAGCCGAGCTGCAGAGTTTTCAATCAACTGAAGTCTCTCAGTAGTGTTTTTTGGGAGGCCAGGAAAAGTGTGTTACAGTTGATGAGGTGACTTGAAACAAAGACACGAAACAATTTCTCTGCATCTTTTTCATTTAGAAATGGTCGCACCTCAGTGATGTTTCTGTTTCTGAGGTGGAGAAATTATGTTTTCACAAGTAATGCCTATTGCATTTGTTTTCAGGTGCGTCCTGTCAGCTGTACTTTTTAACTTACTCCCTGGATGGGATCCACAGCAAGACTAGCGCCCTGTTGGAAAGAGTTTTAGTGTGTGTGTCGCTGCTACTACTGTCACAGTGGCTGTCTGCCTTTTATGTGACCTCTCATGACCTGTCATGCTTGTGTCTGTTGTTTTTTACTGCTTGTGAGCGACCAAACTAGTTCCTCCTCTGAGAGATAATAAAGTTATCTAACACAACTATGTTTGGTAAAACAACTCAGCAGCTGCTCTGGAGCGTTCAAACATATCACATTACATTCCTCTGCAGGTGGAGTTTGCCCAGTTGTTGTGTAATAGTACATATTCAACTTTCCATTCCTCTGTGATGGGATCGAAAGCTCCAGATCAGCTACTGAATTCAGTCTGGAGTGAGATTATTTTTGCATTCCTGCTTAGAAAATGACTTCTGACATTTAATCAAGTCTTGTGGCTGATTGATTTTCTGTTGATCAATAGTTAAACGTGTTACTGACACAGTCTTTTCTTGTGGTAGATACTCACAGACAGTCCAGGGCCCAGTTTAGGACAAGCAGGATCCGACGTTGGATGTCCCTCTCCGGTGTATTCAACAAGGAAAAAGGGACGTGCAGTGCCATTACGCAGTGACGGGGCCTGACAGTCAGAGAATTATGAGTTTTAAGTCTTCAAGACTGGGGTAAGGCAACATTTAGGAAACATTTAAATCAACAGCTGACCATCTGAGAGAGGAAAGACTGCCCATCCACATTGACAGAGGACAGGTTGACACCAGATATGTCCAGTATGGTTGGAGCCAGATCGATATTCAGCACTGGAGCCTGGAGGAGTCACGCAACATCAGAGAGATTATTAAACACAGACTGAAACAAGGTTTACAGACACATTTATGCATGTTATAACGGACATAAGCAATGTTGGCATTGTACACTTCCACAAACCGCAGATACATTATATTAATATTTGCAGTTCTGATTACATATACTGTATATAAGCGGAGTTGATACCTAAGCGAGACCAACAAATTTGGGTACTTTTGAATAATAAATTGTGATATTTCCAACCATGTTTATAGTGACAAAACAAGGTATTTCTTAACAACAGGCCGGGAAATTTCCAGCCGTGTTCGTTGCGACAAAAAAAGCTATTTATCACCGGAGTTCAGGACATTTAAGTTGTGTTTGTTGCAAAAAAACGGGTATTTTTTAACAACAGTTCGGAACATTTCCAAACTGACCAAACTGAGAACGTTCAGCCAAAACACGACCTTTTCCCAATTTAGGTAATTTCTGTGCCTGAACCAAACCACACGTCACAACATAACATAAAACTGGAAACTGAAATGTTAAATACCGTCAAGTTTTAATATGTTACATACATACCCATGATTTGCAGAAACATACAATGCCAACATTTATTCTGGTGATTGAGTTGAGCAAAAACGTGTGTGTGTGTGTGTGTGTGTGTGTGTGTGTGTGTGTGTGTTTTGGACCTGCAACGTCTGGTTTGGTTTGATGCCAGGACCCCGGACCATGAGCGGAACCCTGATGTCAAATTCATACAGCTGCCTTTTATCAATGGGCAGAGAGAACTGACCTGTGAACAGTAAAGACATCAGGATAATTCAAACCAAAAAATACACCGTTTTAAATCATCTGATGACCAGAGGACGGACTCGCACCTGTGTGGTAGCCGTTATCTGACGTGTAGAAGATGTAGGTGTTGTTCAGCTCCTTTATACTCTCCAGTTTCTTGACCAGCAGCTCCACCATGTCGTCCACAGATAACAGGGTCTGCCACCTGCAGGGGAGATCAGCATTTACATTTCTTAAAATTTTATCTGGTATCACAAGAGAGTTACCAAAAGAGCAAGACAATGTCCTTGCATGTGAAAACTAACTTGGCAATAAACCTGATCCTGAATATTTAATATTTAATATTTAAAGTGTGTTTAAAGTATTTATTGTGTTTAATGTGTGTTTACAGTGTTTAATGTGTGTTTAATGTGTGTTAAATTGTTTAATGTGTGTCTAATGTGTGTTTAAAGTGTGGTAAGTGTTTAATGTGTGTCTAATGTGTATTTAAAGTGTGTTTGAAGTGTTTCATGTGTGTCTAAAGTGTGTTTAAAGTGTGTTTAGTGTTTAATGTGTGTCTAATGTGTGTCTAATGTGTGTTTAAAGTGTTTAATGTGTGTCTAATGTGTGTTTAAAGTGTGTTTAAAGTGTTTGTGTGTTTAAAGTGCGTTTAAAGTGTGTTTAAAGTGTGTTTAAAGTGTTTGTGTGTTTAAAGTGTGTTTAAAGTGTTTAATGTGTGTTTAAAGTGTGTTTAAAGTGTTTAATGTGTGTCTAATGTGTTTCAAGTGTGTTTAAAGTGTGTTTAAAGTGTGTCTAATGTGTGTTTAATGTGTGTCTAATGTGTGTTTAAAGTGTTTAATGTGTCTAATGTGTGTTTAAAGTGTGTTTAAAGTGTTTAATGTGTGTCTAATGTGTGTTTAAAGTGTTTAATGTGTGCCTAATGTGTGTTTAAAGTGTTTAATGTGTGTCTAATGTGTGTTTAAAGTGTTTAATGTGTGTCTAATGTTGTTTAATGTGTGTTTAAAGTGTGTTTAAAGTGTTTAATGTGTGTCTAATGTGTATTTAATGTGTGTTTAAAGTGTGTTTAGTGTTTAATGTGTGTCTAATGTGTGTCTAATATGTGTTTAATGTGTGTTTAATGTGTGTTTAATGTGTGTTTAAAGTGTTTAATGTGTGTTTAAAATGTTTAATGTGTGTTTAAAGTGTTTAATGTGTGTTTAATGTGTGTTCAAAGTATTTAATGTGTGTTTGAAGTGTGTTTGAAGTGTTTAATGTGTGTTTAAAGTGTGTTTAATGTGTGTTTAAAGTGTTTCATGTGTGTTCAAAGTATTTAATGTGTGTTTGAAGTGTGTTTGAAGTGTTTAATGTGTGTTTAAAGTGTGTTTAATGTGTGTTTAAAGTGTTTCATGTGTGTTTAATGTGTTTAATGTGTGTTTGTGTGTTTAAAGTGTGCGTGTGTCTAATGTGTGTTTGTAGTGTTTAATATGTGTTTAAAGTGTTTAATGTGTGTTTAAAGTGTTTCATGTGTGTTTAATGTGTTTAATGTGTGTTTAATGTGTGCGTGTGTCTAATGTGTGTTTGTAGTGTTTAATATGTGTTTAATGTGTTTAATGTGTGTTTAATGTGTGCGTGTGTCTAATGTGTGTTTGTAGTGTTTAATATGTGTTTAAAGTGTTTAATGTGTGTTTAATGTGTGCGTGTGTCTAATGTGTGTTTGTAGTGTTTAATATGTGTTTAAAGTGTTTAATGTGTGTTTAAAGTGTTTCATGTGTGTTTAATGTGTTTAATGTGTGTTTAATGTGTGCGTGTGTCTAATGTGTGTTTGTAGTGTTTAATGTGTGTTTAATGTGTTTAATGTGTGTTTAATGTGTGCGTGTGTCTAATGTGTGTTTGTAGTGTTTAATATGTGTTTAAAGTGTTTAATGTGTGTTTAATGTGTGCGTGTGTCTAATGTGTGTTTGTAGTGTTTAATATGTGTTTAAAGTGTTTAATGTGTGTTTAATGTGTGTTTTGAATCAACTAAACTTTACAGCACTTCACAGAAATCTCAGCCGCCAACTAGTGTTTGGAGGTGTAACTGCAGACTGACAGACTGTGGTTGTCTTTTCTTAAGTCCTTATGAAGTCTCCTTCACATCTTTCCTTGACTTTATGATGTTTGCCATCGAAGTCATTAGGAAAGGAGATTTTTTTCCACCACCCATAATATGACACTGCACCTTCATAAATGTTTATTCCAACATAACAAACACATTGAATGAGATATTTCAGTGTAAAGTCAAAGTGGCTGGACGACCACGAGCTCGGCTGACAGAAGAGAAAATTTATCAGTCGTACCTTTTCCTGTAAGCACTGTCCAGGAAGTTGAGGGAGCTGTTTGGCATGGGGTTAACAGGCTGACGCAGCAGCCAGTGTTTGTCCTGAAATGCAGACACCAGAGATTATGTTTCAAAAAGCAGTTATAATATTTATTAATGTCTGATGTTACTATGGACACACCTTCCCTGGTCTGTCAAAGCTCCCGTCTCGAGGAGCTTTGACGTTGCTGAACTCTTTCTGGTACTGTGGTGCTGCTGTCCAGGGGGAGTGAGGAGCTGGAGGGGACAGCATCAGGAAGAAGGGATGCTGGGGGCTCCTGTTGTCCAGGAAGGACAGGGACCGGTTGGCCTGGATAGAGGAGGAATAAGCTGAACACATTACTGTTGCAACATTTAGTTGCAACAGATGAGGAGAAAAAGACAGAAACAACAGCATCTTTGTTAGTTAAAGCCAGCAGGAGCAGATATCAGGAAGCACACACTGCGGTATGCAAATGATGAGGGACAAAGTGAGCTGAAACAAGAGGAAGAGCTGAGCTGCATCTGTGAGTCATTATCAACCCTCGATGTGTACCAGCTGATAAAACACATGCTGTTGGATGTGACCAATGCTCCGAGTCCCACACTGTGTTTCATCAGTCCTTTCAATACTCAGAATACTCTGGGCGATGATTCAACTCAACTGCGTTTCCTTCTTGGTTTTGTCTGGTTATTTTTCAGATTTTTATATTTTCTGTCCCTTTTTGGCTTCATCACACTGTGATGTCCAGCATGCAGTGGGGCGGTTTGCAGCCAAGTGTGAAGTGGTCGGGATGAGAGTCAGCACCTCCAAATCTGAGGCCATGGTTCTCTGCCAGAAAACGGTGGATTGTTCCCTCTGGGTTGGAAGAAGTGTCAAGTATCTCGTGGTCTTGTTCACAAGTGAGGGTAGAATGTAGCGTGAGATAGATCAATGGTTTGGTGCAGCGTCTGCAGTGATGCAGGCGCTGCACCAAACTGCTGTGGTGAAGAGGGAGCTGAGCTGGAAGGTGAAGCTTTTGATTTACTGGTCCATTTATGTCCCAACCCTCACCTATGGTCATGAGCTCTGGGTAGTGACTGAAAGAATGAGGTCACAGATACAAGCAGCTGAAATGAGTTTCCTCTGTAGGGTGTCTGGGCTCAGCCTTAGAGATAGGGGGAGGAGTCAGACATCTGGAGGGAGCCTTTTGTTTTTTAGATGCAATTTTAGATTTACCGTAGCTTAAGACTGAAAAGCTTAAAAGTTTGCAACCAGTGTTCTATTGCGAAGATATAAACTTGATAGGGCCCTGAGACTCACAGACTCTGCTGCTTAATGTACAAAACCTTAGACAAAGGTGAACTATGAAGCAGTTTCCTGACGACTTGCATCACTTTTAATTGACTCATTAAAAACTCACCTTCTCATCCCAGCTGTTACTAAAAATCTATACTTCCTACTCCACTGCTGTTTTTAGCCGCTTCCTAAAAACTTTACCGTAGGAGTCATTTAGCATGTGTATGAGCATTTATATCTTCCTCTGTGTACAGCTGTGTATGTATAGATCATAACATTTTTTGACCACTAGATGGTGGTGTGTGCACAGTCTATGGTGTAACACTGGTCACAGGTGATTGGAATCAGGGGTCACCTTTACAAAACTCCCCAGTTCTCACCTCCTCTCAGGGGCTGCAAACTATCTTCAGAGTTGATTTCAAGGTTCCTTAAACAACTGTTAAAGCCCAACATGGTTTAGCCCCCAGTTAAACATCTGGGCCTCTGACTCCTTATGCTCTGAGTCATGACCTGTGGAAACATGGAAGCTTCACACACAGAAGATCTATACAATCAGCAGAGTTTCAAGATTAGAGTCACCAATTCAGACCAAATGTCTCCCCTTCTGTTCCTGAGATATGACGTTAAAACATGATGATGTCACAGTCAAGCTGACCTTTGACCTTCATTATTTTATCCTAACATTTGTGTCAAGTTTGGTCAGAATTAGCGTAAATGTTTTTCACTGTTTTGTGAGGTCACACTGACCTTTGACCACCAAATACTAATCAGTTCATTCGTCAGTCCAAGTTGACGTTTGTGTCCAATTTAAAGAAGTTCTCTTAAGGTGTTATTGAGATATCACGTTCCTGAGAATGAGAGGAACTTAAGGTCACTGTGACCTTTGACCTATGACCACCATTATATAATCAGTCCATTGCTGAGTTCAAGTGGACCTTTGTGCCAAATTTGCGGACACTCTCACATGGCGTTCTTGACGTATCGTATTCACAAGAATGTGACCCCTTCTTGTTATGCCGCCGCACTGATGTCAGCTGTGGCTGGAGGCATTATGTTTTCAGATTGTACGTCTGTCCATATAGGTACGCAGACGACCTGCTCTGTATCCTGATGAGACGATGCAGTGTGAGCCGATGAGAGCGCAAATCAGGCATGTTCAATTTTTAGGCCTCCGCACCGGTGACAGCCGTGGCTGGAGGCATTCTGTTTTCGGGTTGTCGGTCCATCCCATCCTTGTGTATACAATATCTCAAGAACACCTCAAGGAAATTTCTTCAAATATGGCACAAAGGTTGACTTTGACTTGAGAATGAAATGCTTAGATTTTGGTGGTCAAGGGTCAAAGGTCAAGATCACTATGACCTTGTCTGTCTAACTCATGTGAACGCTATATCTCAAGAACGCATTGAGGGAATTTCTTCAAATTTTGCACAAACATCCACCTGGACTGAAGAATAAACTGATCAGAATTTTGTGGTCGAGGATAAAAGGTCAAAGGTCAGTGTGACCTCACAAAACGTGTTTTTGGCCATGACTCAAGAATTATTGTACTAATAATTACAAAACTTCACACAATGTCTAACAGGATAAAATAACGAAGTTATGACGTTTTGGTCAAAGGTCAGCTTGACTGTGACATCATCATGTTTTAACATCATATCTCAGGAACAGAAGGGGAGACATTTGGTCAGATACTGAATTGGTGACTCTAATCTTGAAACTGTGCTGATTGTATAGATCTTCTGTGTGTGAAGCATCCATGTTTTCACTGACATGGATGGAGACTGTCAGAGACACTGGACTGGTGGGCGGAGTCATACAACCACAGGGTGGACTGGTGGGCGGAGTCATACAACCACAGGGTGGACTGGTGGGCGGAGTCATACAACCACAGGGTGGACTGGTGGGTGGAGACATACAACCACAGGGTGGACTGGTGGGTGGAGGCGTACAACTGCAGGGCAGTAATTCTAGTTTTTCCTCGACTGGCTGAGGCAGCTTCAAGAATTTTATTTCATTTATGGTCCTTGCAGCTAATAAAAGTGCAGTCATTACTGCAGTTTATTACTGGCCAGCCGTGCAGCTGACATGAGAAAGTTCAGCTCTCATAAACTATTTTACAGCATCATATGTAAACAGCTGGTTAAGCAGAAAGACTCATCTGTCACCTGATGAGGATGATGTGCAGCAGCATGAAACCAGAAAACAGAAGACGATACATTTAAATAAAACACAAAGAAGACAAATATCTTCACTCTAAAATACAAATGCAAATACTTAAATGACATTAAATATAATTAACTTGTTTTCTTGCTGTTCTGGTCCAACATCCAGCTGTTGATGATTAACCCTTCACACTGCTGACTGGCAGACAAAAAACACTGAGTGGACATGTTGTGTTTCTGTGACAGCAGCTGATTCAGACAGTCTTGAGGTGAACGGTCTCATTTCATCTTATAAAACCTCACATAAACATCTGTAGATGACCTTACACATGAAATATTGCTGATCCCAGGCTCAGGAGACTTACTATGAGGTCTGTGAGGTAGTCCTTCTCATAACTGTCTCCATGCTTTTCCTCTTTGCCGTTGACTGACAGTGTGTAGTTGTAGTACAGTGAGTTCCCCACCTGTAACCAAACCCAAAGGCTGTGATGTCAGAAAGACTTGGAAATATTAAGCATAGTGTCAGTTCAGGCAGGAAATGATGTCAAGCTCAGCTGGCATCACAGCTGATTGGAAGCACTGAGGGAAGGACTTATAAATGTCATTTCTATTTGGGGGGTCTTTGCTGCTGCTCTTTCCATGTAGGCGCATAGAAGGGCAGGCAGGCCCCAGAACAGAGCCATGCCACCAAATATAATACTGTAAATGGAAATAAAGTTTTCTTTGACTAAAGTGGTCCTGACTGATGTGTGTTTGTGAGACTCACCAGTGCGTGCCACTGGTCCCAGCCAGGTGGAATATGGCCAGCCTCTGCTGCATCTTTCTTACCGTACTGATGGCAGGAAAAAAAACATTCAAATCAGTAACAACCTTTAAAAAGTGTGAAACAGGAATAACAGTCTAAAGACACATTTTGGTGCCGGATGAAAGGTCAGAGGATCAGCAAAATGATTACAGTTCATATGGAGGGGAACATGAATGACGACCCACATTCAGTCACAATCCAGAGATATTTAGAGTCTGGACCAACACTGCCCTGACACCACTCACAGCATGGCTAAAGAACATGAGGACTGTTGATAAGATGACTCATATTCTCAAGTATGACGGTTGTCACAGGATGTAAGGGTGACAAGGGTGCTGCAACACCTCCGCCCCCCAGTGTCTGATGCGAGCTGTATTTGCAGCTCGCATCAGACACTGGGGGGACAATATATTTTTTGTTGTTGCAGTAAACCTACACCCACAATATCTTTTTATTTAATAATCAGACTTTTCTGATAATATATTATATAGTGTCTTGTCTGATCAGTTGTGGCAGGAGAAGTTTGAAAAGGATTTAGAAAATCTCTCCAACTCAAGTTCAAATGCAAAATTCTTTGTTTAAAGAAGCATTTCACTGCCAGAAAGACGGTCTCTTCATAAAACTGGGCTGACTATGAAGTAGAGAGACGCAGATACTTTTGAAATTTGTGCTACATGACCAGAGAAAACAGAGAAAACAGAGTAAAAGGAGTGTGGCATTTAAGTTTGTTCAAGAGGTAGAAAACCTACAACTTTGAGAATGCACTGCACCACACAGGACAAATAAACACAGCCGCTGGTGGGTGAGGTAATGCGAACTTGGCCAAAATCAATATGGCAGCCAGTCGGTAACAAACAGTCTCATATTACAGTTAAAGAGTGAGTTAAAATATGTTGCTAAAAACATTTTAGGTGAGAAATCGACAACTCACTAACAGAATGTTGGTTTGTGTTTGAACAGTGCTGCTTAGTTTTATCGTATGATCCTCTTGATTTTTTCAGCCTCTGTTTTTACACCGGTATGGCGCCAACTTCCTGTTCACAAACACTCGTATTACAGCCAAACAGTGCACTAAAATGTTTCTGAAGATATTTGAGTTGAGAACTAGGCAGCACAGCAGCAGCATGTTGGTTTATGTTTGATTAGTGCTGCTTAGTTTTACTGTTTGATCTCAGGTTCAGGGAGAAAAAAAGAGAAAAAGAGGCAGATCTATCTCTCGATCCCCTTCTATACTCTTTGTGTTCATGGTCTAATTGGGGCGTCGGTGGCTTAGTGGTAGAGCAGGCGCCCCATGTACAAGGCTGTTGCCGCAGCGGCCCAGGTTCAAATCCAGCCTGTGGCCCTTTGCTGCATGTCACTCCCTCTCTCTCTCTCTCTTTCCCCCTTTCACGCTTACCTGTCCTGTCCAATAAAGGCAAAATGCCCTAAAAAATATCTTTAAAAAAATAAAATAAAATAAAATAATCTAATTAATTACATGCTCTGTGATTAATTATTCTGAAATAATCACACAAATCAATTTTTGCTGTGAAAGAATTAAAAAAATTCAGTTCAAATAAATTTTGGCAGCAGTGTCGTTGCTGCTGGACGTTGGACACAGTTGTCCCCCTGTCCTCGACCACTGAAACTGGTCTGCAGTCCATTTCTAAAAGGGAGTTAGTGAGTTGGTCACAGGTAGACTGACTCAGTCTGAACGCCTGGTCAAGTGTGGCATGACAAGGCTGGCCGCTAGTGTTAGCTCGGACCTCTGGGTTCGCTGCTAAATGCTTTGTGTTGAGGTGATGTTTCAGGCTTGAAGTTCTCAAAAGTTCCCTCCTGCAGAACCTGCAGAGAACGGTGCTCCTATCAACTGCTCCATCTGGGTGTTTTTTTTAAAAAGGTAAATGTTCCATTCACGGGGCCGAGCAGCGTCGTCTCGTCTGCCTCCGTCATGTGACAAAGACACTGTGGCCGGGTCAAAGGGCACCACAGAGTGCGATTGATCAGCGTTCATTTATTTAACACGTTATTTTGAGCACCCTAATTATACATATATAATTAATTAAGATACGCTGCTCCTTGTGCGTAAATGTGCACAGCTCTGCTCTGATCTCTGCTACATTCACATTTTACAGAATGTCATAATTTAACACACCTGCATGTCCCTTTGTGTGTACCAAGCAGAGTGTAAGCACGTTGTAAACCCACTTATGTAGGTGCATTCGACTGTCCAAATAATACACCTTTAAATAGCAGGAAAAAAAATTTGCGCCATTGTGACTTTGGACCAGGTTTTTTTGTTGGTCAATGGATTAATTGCTCTCTGCTGCCTCAAAATAGCAACACACCAACAATGTGTCTGACCACACCTCATTTTAAGACCTACACACCCATGGACGCACAGATGGGCGCAAATAATTACACAATGTGGGTGCTGACCATGAAAATGACAACAGCGTGCAGTGTTGTGTGCCGCTTTGCACCAATAGAATAAAATAAAAAATGATAAAATAAAAACAAGTGTAAAAACACATTCTTATTCTTATTCCTATTATCATTATTATTATTAAAAATAAATGTATGGTTATTCAACACATGTCAAAAAGCAGGACGTGATGTCAACTGACAAAAGTGTGAATGACTCTGACTCAGCAGTGATGTCACCACCCTATGTCGAGCCCAGAACTTTACAAAGCACACACGTGTTCACACCTGGTTCAGGTACTTGCCAGCGAAGAACGTCTGGTACTGTTGTTTGCTGAGGTGGAAGGGGAAGGCCGTGGACTCGGGGCCTTTCTGCCACAGAACGCTAGAGCAGTTCCCAGACAGCGAGTTGTTCCTCACCTCGTGGTTGTGGGGGTACTGACCTGTCAGGATGCTGCTTCTGCTGGGGCAGCACAGCGGCGTGACTGTGAACTTTACAGGAGAAGAAGGAAGCGAGAGCAGCGATAGAGGAACATGAAGAACAGGGGGATGACGAAAGAGCAGCGTGACAGGGGAGAGAAGGATGTGTAACTCGTTCTGTTTCAACATTTTAAAACATGTGAAATCATAGGTGAGAGGAGGAATGACTCAGGTCCTTCACTTATGAAAGTACAGGAGTATTATCAGCACAATATACCACAAGTATCAGCAGTAAAAGTACTGAGTGTGCAGTAAAGTGTCTCCTGTGACTGATGCATCAGTGTTAGAGCAGCATGTAACTGTTGTAGCTGCTCCACGTGGAGACAGTTTGAGCTACTTTAATACAGTTAGTTTAGACCAGTGGTTCCCAACCTAGAGGTCGGGCTCCTCAAAAGGGTCATCAGATATATCTGAGGGGTCGTCACATGATTAATGGGAGAGAAGAAGAAGAACTAAGTTCAGATCAGCGGTAATTTTGACAGCTATTTTGGATTTAGTCTGACTCTTGAGACAAAGATGTTTATTGGCTTTAGTCACATTTTGGTCATTTTTGTCCTTCGTAGTTTTAGTCGACGAAACTTCTGAAAGTTTTAGTCAATAAAAATTTTAAACGTTTTTAGTGGCTGAAAATAGTTGACAAAAATTCAAAACATTTCAGTTGACAAAAATTCAAAATGTTTTAGTCAGCAAAAATTCAAAAGGTTTTAGTCGACAAAAATTAAAAAAGTTTTAGTTGACAAAAATTCAAAACATTTTAGTTGACGAAAATTCAAAAAAATTCAGTTGACGAAAATTCAAAACATTTTAGCTGACGAAAATTCAAAATGTTTTAGTCAGCAAAAATTCAAAAAGTTTAGTCGACAAAAATTCAAAACATTTTAGCTGACGAATATTCAAAATGTTTTAGTCAGCAAAAATTCAAAAAGTTTTAGTCGACAAAAATTCAAAACATTTCAGTTGACGAAAATTCAAAACATTGCAGTTGACGAAAATTCAAAACATTTCAGTTGACAAAAATTCAAAACGTTTTAGTCGGCAAAAATTCAAAAAGTTTTAGTCGACTAAAATTCAAAAAGTTTTAGTTGACTAAAATTCAAAAAATTTAGTCGACAAAAATTCTAAATGTTTTAGTTGACTAAAATTCCAAAAGTTTTAGTTGACGAAAATTCAAAATGTTTCAGTCAACAAAATTTTTAAAAAAGTTTTAGTCAATGAAAATTCAAAAATTTTTAGTTGTTGAAAATTCAAAATGTTTTAGTCGACAAAAAATAAATGTAAAAACAATGTGAGAAGTTTAGAGGTAAAACAACATAAAGCCCATCGGTCGGAGCGGATCGGCTGGACTTTGAATGTTGCGGGTGAGTGTTGCACTTTTATCACTCTAAACATTGTAAGCTTGTTGTTAGTTGTGTAGGCCAACCTCTGTTAACGTAGCGCTACATTAGCTACCTAGCTAGCATTTAAGTCAAGATATTGTTGTCACAGAAACAAAACCCATGTGTAGCACATCGTTTATAAAGCTCTGGGATGAAACGCTTCCCAACGCCCTGCCACTGCTGTTCTGCTGAAGAAGAACACAGAGGCCCTTAAATGTAAAATCTAAATCTGAAAAGTAACTGTCAGATAAATGTAGCTGAGTAAAACAAAATAAAAATACTAAAGTACAAGCACCTAAAAACTTCACATGTAAGTACAATACTCGAGTAAAAGTACTCACAGCATTCACAAAAGTTGCTCCTGCGTCTCCTATTAAGGCTTTAGTTTTCTTCATGGGCGTCTGCAGAACAGAGACAAGAACAGATTTAAACAACATGAGAATTTCTCTATAAATCAAAAACCAAGTTAATCGATGATCACTGGTAGAGACATTATGAATTTAGCACTCGTCATGAACTCTTTGTTTAATTATTGCTACTGTGTGGACCTCTGGTTTGTTTCTGGTTTGTTACTGGCAGCTTTTACACTGCCTCTTCAAGGTGGGAATTTTGTGCTGTTTTGCCATCAGAGTTACATCAGAGTTCATGTCAAATGGAGGTTGAACCATGAACGTAAATAATAGAAAGTCTGTAAAGCATTTTAATAAATCAATATCATCATTTAAGCAATCGGAGACTGACAACAAACATAAAAAATAGTAAAAACTATACGTCACAAATTCTTAGAACCAAAAGGCACAACTTTTTTAGTCCAAACAACCTGAAGAAAATCTGTTTATTATCATACAAGACGAAGAACAGCATGAAATCTTCACAAATCAGAAGCTGTAAAATTTACATTTTTTTAAAAAAATTTTGCTTGTAAAATTACTAAAAATACTACACAGCCAGAAGTATTGCTGATTCATTTTAAGAAAATAGTGAAACGCAACTTCAAATTATGTTTTTTTTGTCCAAGCAACATCAAGAAAATCCTTTTTTTAAATCATATAAGCCAAAGAAAAGCAGGAAATCTTCATATTTGAGAGGCTGGAATCAGAATTTTGCTTTTTTTGTTTGATTAAATCAAAGAAGTGATTATCAAAACAGTATTGTATTGTATATAGTTTACTTATTTCATTTAGTTTTTTAGCCACACCAGCGACATGATGGGGTCAGTCTGTCCACTGCTTAAGTCCAAACTTAAGTATCTCAACAATTATTGGATGGATTGTCATGAAACTTGGTTCAGACATTCATGTAGCATCCACTTCTTTAATCTATAACCAAATAACTGCAAAACAGAAAACATGGGGGCGTCGGTGGATTAGTGGTAGAGCAAGCGCCCCATGTACAAGGCTGTTGCCGCAGTGGCCCTGGTTCGACTCCAGCCTGTGGCCCTTTGCTGCATGTCTCTCCCTCTCTCTCTCTCCCTTGTCTGTCCTGTCCATTAAAGGCTCAAATGCCCCAAAATATCATAAAAAAAACAGAAACCATGAAGCTTCAGCTGTACTTTATGTTTAGTGCTAATAAGCACATGTTAGCATGCTAACACGCTAAGACAGACTGTCAGACATGGCCAGTGAAACAACAGGGAAGTATTTATAAAACGCAGGTGAGAGAAAAAGCTCCACAAACAGTGGCTGATCCTGTTCATCCCCTTTTTAAAGAATTCATAAAATTGCCCTCAGGGAGGCGCTGTGGAGCTGCTGCTGCTGCTGCTGCTGCAGCAACCAACATTTACAAAAAGCCTTTCATAACAAATGCAATAATTTTGCTAAATTCATGACCAATACTGTCTGTTAGTGTTGCACTGTGCATGTTTTTGTGTTTTAAAGGTAGGATCTGGAGGATTTTCAAACAAAACAAAATATAGACACATACAAATGAAATCCTGCTTCATCATCACCTATGGGCTTCTACTCATGTGTGGTGGTGACTCTGTTTGCAGAGCTCCTGACTTTTAACTGTATTTTGATGTTTTTGTGAGTTCGGACCGCTTCTGGGCAGAGATTTCCTCAGCCAATGAGAGAGCGCAGGTGCCGTGCCCAAGCGTGTCCGAGCGTGCACCAGCGCGAGCCTTGCCTGAACCTCTTCTGTGAAGCCTTCTTCCGTGCCTCCGGGCTCCGTACACACCCGGGAGAGTTGAGCCTGATAGGAGGGGCCGAATTTGAATATGTGTTTACAAACAGCAACTGGAAAATCCTCCAGACCCTACCTTTAACCAACTGCTGAAGCTGAAGTCAGATTTCCACATTTGTGGACATTAAAGATTTTTATTACTAATATGTGACTGTGAACATGGTGAAAATTAAACCTGCATAACAGCTTGTTAGCATTAAAGATCCAGTGTGTGAGATTAAGGGGGGTTTTGGGGTGAGGACTGCAGATTGCAACCAGCTGAAACTCCTCCTGGTTAGAATTCCTTCAGTGTTCAGGAGGTTTTTTCCAGGAGCTGAATAACTCACAGAGGTGTCTTCCTCCAAAACAAACAGACCCACTGATTTAAACTGGCAAAAACACTAAATTAAGTGTTTCTCCGATATTGTTTGAAACCACACTGAGGCTGCTGTCAGCCCTAGAGTGTCTCCTTTGGTCTGAATCAGGGACTCATGTTGTTCCAAAGTTGTATAATTGCCTAGAGTTGGTTCGTGTTCTCACGGCAGTATTTACAAAAGGACCAGATCAAATGCCTTGTGTGAGAAAGCTGCTCTTGATTGGTCAGAATTTCCATGTGGGAAAAATCCAGGAAGTAAAGCAAACGTTGAAGAAGAGTACACTTGCAAGATAAATGTGACACTTTCTAATGTCACAATGGAGGGACAACTACGCAGGTTGATTTTAGCGCTGCTCATCGTGGACTATATTGCTGTCATTGTTCATTTTAGTCAAACCATACAGTTTGAAAACGAGGCGCGGCTCCAACTAGAAAACAATGTTTTGATGCATTGGATGTGCTGAATGTGCATATTAAGGCAGTACAGGAGGAGGTGCACATTAATAATCCTCCAGGACTGTAACATGCTCATGTTTAACCCAAACAATGTGTCATGTGACTGCAGTTGCTTCACATCCAGGTCGGAACACCTTCTCACCACAAACCAACCGCACCAGAGTTCCTTTGGAACCGGACTGAGACCACCTCTTCAAGAAGGTCTCGGTCTGCACTGAGGGGGCAAACCTCAGATATGTCCGCCTAAAGCCGACACAGTGGAGCTTTAAATCAGCCTCACAGAGCAGCTCTCTGACATTACACATCAAACCTGGACCTTAAACAGATTTAATTTAACTGACTGTCACATGTTTAAATGCACTTAAAGCTTCAGCTACATAAATCTAATTTAATTAACTGTGTATTTTTTGTTTCCTTTGCCAACTTGAAAGTGTTGCAGAATCATTTAGTCAGTCAGCTGAAGTGATTAATCGACTTTAAGGGTCCTAAAAAAGTCCCTTCCTGTATTTCCAGCTGACATCACGCATCAACCTGAGAGGACAGCAGACATGCACAGCCCAGCTTCAAGCTTCTCTACGAGTATAAATAATAAAGATAATAAGGTGATAATAACTCCATAAATTAAGACAAGAGACTCTGAACATAACGCTCAGCTGCTGTACAGACACGCACAGGTGCAGGTGTGTGTTCACAGGTGAGAGCACCACACGTCACTGTAACTCTGTCAGATCAGTACAGGTGTATGTTCCGGTTGGGTCCACTCACCATCCCGCCCAGACGCACGTCCTGGTCATCGCTGAGGATGAGGATGATGTTGCTGGCTTTGGGACTGTGGGACCTGACGCAGCAGGTGAGCAGCAGCAGCGCGAGGACAGTGACGGCTGCCAGGTGTCTCGTGCTCGCTCCTGATCCGCTCCTCACACCTGCCATTAGACCTCCAGCACCGGCACCGGGCCCGCTGCAGCACACACTCTCTCTCTCACACGCACACACACTCACACACACACACCGGGGCTGAAGCTCGGTCTAGTTTCCTGGAGGACGTGTTGCTGAGTGAGCGCGTGCGGTGCAGACTGGACGGTGCGTGACACAGCTGAAGGTTTGAGGAAGTGGAGCTGTGGGTCATATGATCACTGTGAGAGTGGGAGGAGTAAAGACACGAGGACAAAGTGTTCAGCGTGGACTTTATTCCACTTTATTCACCAACAAACCCTTTTTACTAACTTTAACTGTTGCCACGTCACAGTCAACGATAGATACTCTGTTACTATGGAAACAATAATCCTATTTTATACACACTGATCAGTCATTTCATATTATATTATATTATATTACATGTTTTTTTATAACACGCCATAATATACTACATATTTTATTATAGTATGTTTTATTATTTCATTTTGTTATATATTTAGAAAAATATCAACCATTATTTTAGAATTAATTTTTTTATTTCCTAATTTTCTATTATATCATATTTTATTATACTCTATGTTTATATCATTCTATACTTTTTTTTACCATACCATATTATATTATTGTGTTTTATTATATTATATTTTATATATTTTTTATATTTTAATTAGATTATTTAATTTTATTTTATTTTATATTCGGTCCAATAAAAAGAATTATTTATCAAAAATGTCAACATTTTTTCCCACTTTTTCCTTATGTACTCATCTGATACAATATCAAATTATATTATATTGCACACTGCACGTAATTTTATATTTCATAATATTCAATCTAAAATGAAAAAAAAAGGAAAAGTTCAACAAAAATATCAACTGTTTCAACATTTTAATTTAATTTAATTTAATTCAATCCAAGTTCATTTAACTATTTTTATTTTATTTTATTTTATTTTGTTGATAACACATAATTCATTCCCAAGGGGAAATTTTCTTATAATGATCTAAAGTAGAAAGCCATTAAAAAAGCCAAACATTTTAATTTAATTTAATGATAATACTTAATTGTTCCACAGGGGGGAATAATATTATGTTAATCTAAAATAGACAGTCATTAAAAAGCCATAAAAAAGTTAACCATTTTACCACTGATTTTATTTTATTTTATTATTTTTATTTTATTTCATTTTTATTTTTATTTTTATTTTTATATATACAGATTTGTTTGCAACAGGTTTTTTTTTTTTTTTTACAGAAACACATGAGGACACATTTTTGTTTAGGACCCCTTCAATTCAGTTACTAGGAAATTTTGACCGAAATATGCAGACAACTGAGTTTAAAAATCAAATGATGCAACACAGACACTATTTTTTAAATTACCATAAACATACACACACATATCAAATATCTAATGTCACTTTATCTGCCGATATATCAGCTCAGTCTGACACTGATAGCTTTTATGGTCCATGGCTGCAGTTTCCTTTTCAAAAAAAATGAAACCTAAGTAAGAGCCTATGCGGAGGATCTGAAACCACTTTCACACATTTCAATGTAACTCCCTTTAAATTTCCCTTTCAACAGCTTCACAATGACTTCAAGTTCATGTCAGTGTTTGTCATCAGTACAGTCTCTATCATTCATGAGTTCAACAGCAGAGCATTCTGTATATCTTCTTCTTACAGCTCTGATTGAAAGCTATGTTTAAACTCAATTAGGTAAAACATTCAAATCCACATATCTACATATACTATATTTATTTACACACTGTACTTGACAGATTATACATTTTACAGAGTACATTTATGACAAGAGGCAAAATGTAAAAATAAGATGTTACAATGGACGAAGGAGGCGCTGTTTGGCTCTGTTAGCTGGACTGACAGATGCTCTGTCAGGTAAAAGGATAAAAACCAAACGAAGGAAGCCCTTAAGCACTGTCTTTATGCTCCAAGAATAAATATATAAGATTATTTCACCTAATAATGGAGTGCCTTGCTTTTTCCCTCCTGAAATATAAGATGACATTCCCAGATTTCTGTACAATAACATTAAATTGTAGACAGACATTTCTTTGGGATGTTTTGGCCCCTGAGTGGAATTTAAAATAAAGTTTTAACAGTTCAAACAACATGAGTTAGTTATGATGTAATGATGATGGATGTCCTCTGGGTCGAGGAAGTAGTAACATATTAATGACTCGTGGTTTTCTAGAGAACACTGAGTACAGAATTCATCACACCCGAACACGGAGGCTCATCTGCCAGTAATTATATTTCACATGAAACAGATTTGTGGATAACGGGGAGGACTGACTCCTGATATCTGATCAACCAAATCTCTGAGCACTTCCCTTCAGTGGGTCTGATATCCGTCAGAGCTGAGCTGTGAACACGACTGATACACTGCACAGTGGAGCTGCGAGCTAACATGCTAACATGCTAACATGCCAATGTTTATAATGTTCACCATCTTAGTTTAGCATGTTAGCATGCTAACGTTTTGCTAATCAGCACCAAACACAAAATCCAGCTGAAGCTGATGGGACCTGTCCCTCCTTCTGATGGTGTCTGGTCAAAAACAAGAAGACAACTAGAAAAGCACTCGGAGAGCGCAGACCTCCGCCAAGCAGCTCGGATTTCCCACCATTTTATTATTTTATCCACTTCGCTTCAGCCGATCATCTGTTCCTTGTCCCATTATCAACCTTTCCTGAAAATTTCATCAAAATCCGTTCACAACTTTTTGAGTTATTTTGCAGACAAACAAACAGACAAACAGACCAGTGCCGGCGAAAACATAACCTCCTTGGTGGAGGTAATAAAGTCTCAATGTCCCCAGACCAGAAGATACATGTGAGTGGTGTCTTCAAATGAGAGGATAATAGAGTCCCAGTATCCTCAAACACACTGTCCCCAAACAAGATAATAAAAAAGTCCCAGTGTCCCCTAACGAGTACCTCCTAATTGACCTCATCCTAGATTATTACTGTTGCTAAAATTCGTCAAAAGACCATATCAAACTAAAAACGTTATCAAGCAAAAATAAAGACTAATAAAGGTTTTGGACCTTGTTGGACGGACTTGGCAGAGGTGGCTGCCATCTTGTCTTGTGGTCTTACTACCAATAGGTGACACAAAAAAATGCCACAAACAAGAACAACAGGTCTAAATTAAGCAGGAAACCCAAAATGTAATGTCAGGAGGTTAACAATCTCTCCACTTGAGCTACTGTCTCTATTAATGACAACGTGATGGTGTGCTGGAAAAGTCCTTAAAAATATGTAGGATGTGTTGAGATTGAAATGGTTCAGTGTAGAAACAGGTCTGAACCCCGATGCACAACTCAGAGACCAGCAGGACAGGTGAAAGTTCACGTTTACTCGTGGTCAAAAAACCGGCAAACATCAAAACCAGGAGGGCAGATCAAAACGGGAGAACTGATCCAACAAGGCGTCAGGAAGAAGGCCAACAGTCAGAAGTACAATAGGACTGAGTGGAAATGAGTCAGTCTAAATACTGCACAGTGGTGGGAACAGGCGTAATGGCGAGGTCAGCTGGGGAATGGCGGGAAAAGGGTTAAAACAGGGCAGGAGGGAGTGGCTGATCTGAAGTGACCATAGACTGTGTGAGAGGAAAAATGTATCTTTATATCTAACTCTGCAGATGCATCTCCTAATATATTAAAGAGTTCTTTTTCTTTTCTTTTTGAGAGCTCCAGTGTGCAGGATTTAGGCTGATGCATTGCCAGAAATGAGCTATAAAATAATAAGTGTGTTTCATTTCATGTATAATCACCTGAAAATAAGTATTGTGGTGTTTTTGTTACCTTAAGGCCCAGACACACCAAACCGACTTCAGAAAACTAGCACCAACACAGATCGGCTGCTGCGTCACCTGACTTCACTGTGTCTTGGCCACATGAACACACTGCAGAGACAACAGCTGAAGGTAAACCACTACGTATGTTCTGTAATCGTCATTCAAAGAGGGAAACAAGAAGACTGTCTTGACGCTAGTTAGCCAGTTAGCACATTAGCAACACAATCCAACACTGAAAGAACAGAGCATATTTACAGCGAGGCAGTAAACAATAACACAAACCATCAGGAAACGTTTCTGCTAAAGAAAAATAATCTGACCTTATGTAACAACTTCCTCTGGACTTCAGCTCTTTGTTTACTTTCCTCACTTCTGTTTCTCTCGTCATGCTCTGAGCTGAACTTAATATCAGAGTGATTTCATTCACTGACAGGCTTTGCAGTCACAGACCCCAGTTAAACACAGCGGCTTAGCCGAAAAATAGCCGACACGGGGCAACGAGATGCAACAGATACTTACCAACAGCCCAACTTTGACAAGAAATAAAGTTTAAGCTTGTTTCAATCTGCAATCCTCACTAACAGACACCACTAAATCCCCCTAATTTCACACACTGAACCTTTAAATGGGAAATTTGTCGTGTTATTAGTCAGCAGAATGAAGCAAAATGGAGACAGAAGATGATGTCAACAAAAACAATTAGAAACCAATCAGTAAATACAAGGATGATCAATATGACATGTCATTCTGGAAAGTTACTCGTTGCTGTTCCGACAGACTGAACAGTGATGATGATTATTCTGGTCGCTCATCACTGTGGTTAGCTGCAGCCATAGCCTGTATAACAGCTGTTGATGGAGAGGTGTCCTACAGGCAGGTAACAATCAGTCAGTACAGTCACGTCTGACCTGCTGTTTTCAAACCGTGACATGAACCAACAGATGAAGGAGCTCTGCTCAGCTGGAAGCAGCTTCAGGAAAGGGTGGAGGTTGTCATCGGCAACTGCAGACATCATCATCATTATCATCATCTGTACTGTGATGATGATGATGGCTTGTTTTGGAATCTTCCATCTGCACAACAGATTTACCCTTTGGTCCTAATGACAAACCTTGAACCTTGATTATAATAATATCAATACATTATATTTATAGAGTGTTTTTCGTGATACTCGGAGACACTTTACATTAGTTTAAATGATCATAAAAACAGGCCACGTTTAAAATATATGACACACAACATTAGTCACACTTTAAAGGTCCAGTGTGAAGGATTTAGGGCAGCACATTGGCAGAAATATAATATAATAAGGCTGTTTACTTTAGTGTATAATCACCTGAAAATAAGAACCACTTTGTTT